GGGGGGGGGGGGGCAGTGGGAGAAGCGGGCGGGGGCTCGCAGCTGTCCCGTGGTCCGTTGGACTGTGTATGGTCCCTCTTTGTGTGACTTGGGGCCTGCGGCGCCTCTTCCCTTCTTTCCTCAGACTTTCTTTTCCCGGCTCCCTGGTACTGCATTCAGAGTTCCTGGATGAGGCTCAGCTCTACTCCCTTTATTTCTTGTTCTTTTTTCCCATACTTTACATAATAAAGGTCTTCTTTTCTATTCTTTCTTTCGGAGTCAGAAAACTGAAGAGACTCTCTTTACTAAGAACTTAATAAAGAACTAGGAGGTAGTTTGGGGGGTGGGGTGCGTGGAGGGAAAAGGGGCCTCTCATTCTGGCGTGGCCTTGCTGTGTGTAAAGGAGCTGTACCCTTATAAATGGATTTTTGGGTTCAGGGCCTGGGAGAGAGGGGAAGAAAACAAAGGCGTCGGCGAGAAGCCCCAGAGCTTCTGGGAAAGAGGGCCTTGTTTATGCCTGTTGGAAACGATTTGGTCAAGTGTTTGTTTAAGAGAGATGCCACTTGGTTAGCGACGCCTGGCTCACTTGTATCGTGTTCAAGAATGCTTTGATTGGCTGGAGACCCCGATACTGTTTACTCAGAAACTGGCCTGAGTGAAAGACTGGAGCCCAGAGGCCCAGCGCTACCACTCCACAGATTCTGAAATATCTGAGGATTGGGATCGGGGCCGCGGTGGTTTGAATCTGCCAGGCAGAGCGAAACCCACATGGGGGCCACCTGCTCCCTCCAGCCTTGGTTAGCATCTGTCAAATCTCTCCTGATTAATAAATACTGGTTGGCGGGTTAGACTGCGGGATTTTTCAGAAAGAGGGTTAAAGGACAAGTAAGTCTTGGAGGGAGATAAACACTGAACACTTATGTGAACATCTGCCAGACACAGCAGTGTGGTTCAGGTGGGATCATCCATATCCTTGAAGTAAAGGGTGTGGCCCCATCTTCCAGATGAGGAAACTGAGGAACAGAGCTATCAAGAGTGTGGAGTTGGAGGTGCAGGGGATTCGATTCCAGTTAGACCCAGCACTGAGTTCCTGTGTCCCTTATTAGGTTGTCAGGATTTTGCAATCTTTTTTTCATCCCTTGTGTCTGTCGCCCCGCCTGGTACATTGGCAGGTGTCGGTAAAATGTGAGGTATGTGATGATGCGTTCAGTTGGATTAAACTGAACTCTGGGCTCTGGTGCCCGCATTCTTGTAAGTGATGGGGTTGGACTAGGTTCTGAAGATTCTAGATGCGAGCCACATCAGAAACTGGCTGCTTGCACTGGGCACATCCTTTGTGGGAAGGTGTACCAGTAAGATCTGAGTGCTGTTCGTGCCAGGCGGCTCTCCACACGTCCGAAATATCACCCCTGTGTTCCTGTCCTTGGGGAGAGTAGCCTGGCTTAGAACTTGGGCAGACAAACTTGTCACAGACAAAGAATTTGACATTCTGTCTAGCTCCCAGTCTGCGGGTAAGAACTTGATGGAAAGAGGGACGGGAGATGTCATTTAAGTGTGCCGCAACTAAGACCCGACGCAGCCAAATTCTTTTAAAAAAATTGGAGTGTCATGGCGTTTGTAATTTTCTGAAATTGCAAAGCAGCTAGGGGAAAAGATGTCTGGAAGAAGTGTTAAGGAAAATAGTTTCTTTGCAAAATGACATGCTGGACTCACCTTCCTTTCTGTGTCTTAGGCAACACAATAGGATCCGCAGCGTGGAGGGGAGTCAGCTCAAGGCTTACGTTTCCTTGGAAGTGCTGGATCTAAGCTCCAACAACATCACAGAGATCCGGAGCACCTGCTTCCCGCACGGGCTGCCCATAAAGGAGCTGTAAGTGCCTTGGGTCTGCCGGCAGCCCCCAGGTGTGGACGCAGGTGGACGTTCCCTCCTCTACTCCAGCGTGGCCCGGCTGAGTCAGTGGGATGGGCACACACCTCCCCCTGCAGCAGGGCAGGGGGCAGGAGACCCAGGTCCGTAGGCCTCTGTTAGCCCATTCATAGAGCATCTCCAAGTCCAGCAGCGTTATTCTGGCTGTAGAGGTGGCTGAGGAAGCCTGAGGTGGGGAGATGTGAAGCAGACTGACCATTTAAGAGCAGACTCTAGGCCTGAAATACGTGGCTGTGTTGACCACAAAGCCTGTTTCCTTTCTCCTTCACTGGGCTGCCTCCCACAAAAACTTAGAACAAAGGTTTGGGGGTATTTAGATGAGTGACATCGGAGCGAAACCTCTCTGTAGAGGCTCAACCAGCCAGTGCTCGTGCATCCTCTGAGTTCTCTTGACCCTTCTCCGCCTCTCCGTTGGTCTGTTTCTCTTCTGCCCATCATTCTGCCCCATCTCACACCCCGCCAGTTGGCAGACAGGAGAAAAACAGTCAAAGCCTATTTAACCCACCGCTTATTGGTAGGAAAACGTTGCTTTGGGGAAGAAACTGAAAACTCAGGCTAAAAAGGCACGTTCAGGTGACGGGTGAGTCCCCATCCCCTGCATTATTAGTGAGCGCTTTGGAGGATTGTTCGTGAGGCTGGTTTTAGGGGTCGTTGTGACCCATGTGCTCGGTGACCAAGGCCAGGCACACAGGTTTTTTGAGATCCCCGAGGAGAGGAGCGGTTTCTTTCTTAGGCTGCGTGAAAACGCCAGAGTTGGAAAAAGGAGGCCTTGGCTAATCCTTCGGCCGATGTGGCCGTGCTCAGCCCTCAGTGAGGGCTTTTGAAAGGTGGGTCCGGCTGCCACCTGGCACTGACTTGTTTGGGACAAAGAAACCACCACTGCTAAACTGACTTGCAGTGACCTTCTCTCTCTCTGCCTAAAAGCAAGGGATGTTGTACTTTGGCAGATGCTGGCCGGGATATCGTCATCACACAGACTCTTCTTTAATCTGGAGTGTTAAGAACAAACAGTCCAGCTCCGTTCGCACAGAATCCTCATGTGCCCTGTCCTGGGCCGCTGCCTGATGGAGACGAAGAATGCCTTCTTCCATTCCGTTATCCAATGTAGACAATTCTCTCTGGTCTTTTTTCCTTTTTGCTTAAGCCACAAAAAGCACCATTGGTCTAGGGAAGGTAGAAGGAAAAGTGTTGGGGATAACTTCTCCTAGGAAAGACCAAATTGTTACCCCCTTTTCTCTCCTTTTTTCCCCTTACTTGATGTAATTTACATACAACAGAGTGCACAGACCTTAGCTGCCCAGTGCGTTGCGTTTTGAGGGGAGGTGCCCCGTACACTTGTAATCCTGTAGGTGGACATCCCATGCAACTATTGCTTGTTTTTTAAAGGGATTCCATGCAGACCCCTTAAAACAATTTTTTTTTTCATTGAGATACAGTTGATTTTATAGTATTATGTAAGTTTCAGGTGTACAGCCTAGTGATTCAGAATTTTCATAGATTATAGTCCGTTTATAGTTGTTATAAACTATTGGGTATATTCTGTGATGTACAATATATCCTTGCAGCTTATTTATTTTATACCTAGTAGTTTGTACCTCTTAATCCCCTACCTCTGTCTCGCCCCTCTCCCCTCCCCTCTCCCCACTGGTAACCACTCATGCCGATCTCTCTAACTAGAATGTTTTCTCTGACACATTTAAAATTATTAAAATGAATTGGTTTTTGCACATTTACACATCATACAGTGAGACCCACTTCAGAATTAAAGGCTGTTTCTCCAAATTATATGACATCCACTGTGACCTTGCCTCGCAGTGGACTTTCTGCTGCCTAAGGCTCTTCTCACCGACCTTGAACCCTAACTCTTGGGTAGTGGGTGCAAGGAGGGACTCCTGCAGCGGCCCAGCTGGGGTGCGAGGATGGCTGGGGTGGAGGTAATTGACTTCCCTCCCACCCTCCTGGGGTAAACCCCTCCGGCCACGAGCAGAGCGAGCTCTGGGCTCTCAAACAAGGCTTCTATCGAGCCTGACGAGGATGATCCTGACACCCGAGTCTGGGGGTAGAGGTGAGCTTTGCAGCCTCGGGACGACAAATGTCTCGTTGGAAACCCATCCTTCTGGGTGTGTTTTAGCTCATTTTCCTAACTCAGGCAGGTCTGGTGTCGGTAACAGAATGAGGAAGGCCTCCTACTGACCACCGCATTTTCTCTCATGAATCATTCCAGCAACCTGGCGAGCAACCGGATCAGCACCCTGGAGTCGGGAGCATTTGACGGTCTGTCACGGTCGCTGCTAACGCTTCGGCTGAGCAAAAACAGGATCACCCAGCTTCCTGTGAAAGCATTCAAGTTACCCCGGCTGACACAACTGTGAGTACAGAGACCTGCACTTTAATTAAGCTTAGCCACACTTCATGGAGGCCAAATTTCCCCCAGGACCTCGATCCAAATGCACCCGCTTCCCCACTGCCCCTCGGTCAGGCTGTGCATCAGCTACCGTGGATGCAGAGCCTAACAAAAGCAAATTAGAAGCTGGGTGTGGTGCCTGCAGGCTGCCCCAGGTTGCCGAGGAAAGATCCACCTAGGATATACATGCCTGTCCTCATCGGCACTTCCCAAAATGCAGTGAGGAATCCTGCTGCCTAGCTGATCCTGGCTAATGCTTAGACTGTGGGCGTGGGGTTCCTTATTTGTCTCCGAGGTTTTTGTGTTTTTTTAAGGCACCCGGATAATCTGTACTGTGGACATTACAGAGTCCGGCACTGCTTGGGCAGTTTGAGAGGAAGTCAGTGTAGCCAGAGGTAGGAAGCAGGAGATGGGTCACCATCTTCATCTCCTTAATCTCATAAGGTAGTCAACTGATTTTTTTTTTTTTAATGAAAGGGTGTAATTGTTTACTTTTTTGACCAGCACGGCTGAGTGCCCTCCTAGAATGGCCCAGGGTTTGGAGTCAAGAGGACCTCTATTTACCAGAACCTGATGGACTGTTTGTCCCCTGGTTGTTTTGTTCGCCGGTGTCCTTTTTTTGTATCAGAAGAGTGCTACCTCAGGAAAACAAGCTGATAATCGATGTTTGGTTTAAGCAGAACAACACAAGTGTTCAGGGCCAGGTTTGGCGGCAAGACGGGGTGTGCCCCGCCCTGCTCACTCCCCCCGCTCCGACACACCTGGGCGGCGGGGCCCGGCCATGCCCTCCCCGGTGCTGGAGAAGCTCTGTGGATGCTAAGGGCCGTATGTGGGTCATGAGACACTGCAGAAGTATTTGGGGCAATCCAGGGGCTTTCTGGCCAGGCTGTGTTCTCCCTTCCTTGAGTATTACCGATGGAGCCAGTTCACCCAGCTTCCTGAGATCTTTTGGCTCAGTGAGGCTTCAGCACACGGGGGTTGGAAGCCCGTGTGTACGCTTCGCAGTGCGCCCAGATGCCCGCCCCTGAGGGCAGTCACTTCTCTCCATCAGTAGAGACCTGAGTAGTGCCTCGGTGGGAAATGTCGTTGCCGTTTGATACCCGTTGGTTAGATTTTTCCTGGGTTGAGGCATCTGGTGTGGGTTTCTGCTGCCGAGTTAAGAGACAGCTCACCTAAGACGTTCACCTCCTGAGTCATACCCCCTCCTCACTGCAGAGTCATGGGTGCTTGGGGAAGAAATGGGAGCACTCGCTCATTCGGGGGGTGCGGTGGGACCGGCTTCGGGGAGCTCTGGGCCCCCCTTTCACCAGTTAGCAATGGCCCGTCAGCGTCTGCATGCACTTGGGCGTGCACGTCTGTGATACGTCTCGGCTTCCCGGGATTGTCTCCGGGGACCGCGTGGCGATGGTTGTAGGCGGGGCCGTGGGTGGGGGACGCTGTGAACCGCTGGCTTCGTCTCTTTAGGGACCTCAATCGGAATCGGATTCGGCTCATCGAGGGCCTGACGTTCCAAGGGCTCGACAGTTTGGAGGTGCTGAGGCTCCAGCGAAACAACATCAGCAAGCTGACGGACGGCGCCTTCTGGGGTTTGGCCAGGATGCAGGCGCTGTGAGTGCGGGCCAGGTGCCGGGGATTCTTGCAGGCGCTGAGGGACCATTTAGGACCTCGGCCGGACCCAGCCCCTGCCCTTTGGGACTTCAGCTGGGCGCCACTCAGTGTCTTTGGGGACTTTGCCAAACCTCAGGGTGTTTTTCTTGCAGGTTAAGAAAATCTCTTGGGGGGAGTTTCGTTGAATTCAGTGAAGCGAGTTGGTTCGTGAGGTTGGAAGAGGGGCTGTTTTGCTGGGGCTGCTTCCCCTCCCCGTTTCCCCTCCCCTTGTTAACCCAGCACAAGTGCACGTGCCCGACGCACAGTGAGGCCAAACAATACCAAAACGTCGGAGTTTGGAGCAGAGAAAGGTTTATTGCGGGGCCGTGCAAGGAGACGGATGGCTCGTGCCCCAAAACCCCGAATTCCCCAAAGCGTTTCAGCAAAGCATTTTTAAAGGCCAGGTGAGGCAGGGGCGTGGCTGGTTGTTGCAGAGTTCTTGGTGTAGGAATCCTTTGTCCTTGCAGCTGACGGTGTAGGTCAGGTCCCGGCGTTCCTGTAAACCTCCAACAAGACAAACGTTAGTCGCTGTTCTGCAACTTTTTATCTCTATGTGAATAGAAAAGTATTAACACCTTTAAAGGTCAGAGCCTTGAAAATGGGCTACCCTGTATATTTCACACGCTACAGGCAAGATTCTTAAATGGAAGCAAAAGCAGTAGAAGGCGCAGGTTAAAGGAAAAGAGGCATCTGACGTGGGGTCACATTGTTCTTCCCTATTAGACCCCCACCCCACCGCCCTGGCGGACAGTGGGCTCCCTTCCCACATCCTCTCCTGTCTCCTGCACACCACAGGAAGTTCCCTCTCTCCTCACTTTGGGTTTGACCGTCTTTCTTGATATGCAGGTGGGCCAAAAATGTATAGTTCTCCCTGAGAGATTTATTTATGTTCTGTGAACTAATCAAGCCCCTCGCTGCAGATGTTCCACTTTTATCGAGGGAGCGCTCGCTCCAGCCAGATGTGGACAATCACGGGGCTTGCCTGCCTGCGGAGGGATGGAAAAGCATCCGGAGAAGGGCAGGCGAGGCAGTTACCAAGCTTCATCTTTTCAGCATTTACATTTATTTATTTTTAATCAAAAGAAACGTTTACTCATAGTTGAGCAAAATCAAATTGTAAAGAAAAGTAGTTGTTGCCCCCCCACCAACCCCAGCTGCCATTCTCTCTTTCCCCCAGTTCCACCCCCATGAGGCAGGCAGTCACTTCCAGTCATTCTCTTTTGGGGGTTTTCTATTTGTAGTGGTTCCTTCCAAGTTAATACACTTATACCACTATCTTGACGTGTCACCGTGAGATTTCTTGCTTTATGGTTAATGATTTAACTTGCTCAGGACACCCCCATGCCCTTCCAGTCTCTATGAGTTACATCACTCCGTTTATGCCTTTTATCAGTTATCTTTGCAACTGATACAAAAAACAAAAACTCCAGGTCCAGTTCCATCAACCCTCCGAGCTGTCCTCATTATCAGGAGCATCTCTCGATATGCGCACCGTCACACACACACACACGCACACACACACACACACGCACGCACACGCACACACACACACACACACACACACACACACTTTGTAAAATGACACCCTTAGCACTGCTGTTTTGCTTCTCCCTCTCTTCGTTGTTCACCTTTGCGTGGCTCTGCCTCTGTTTTTACATATTCGAGCACACTTTTCCTTGACATTCTTAAAACTGTCATTTTGGACTTTGGAACCCAGGTGGTCGTGAGCTGGGAGGGCCAGGAGTCAGGATTCTCAGAAGAACATGGAGTCCTTAGCACATGACATTTGGGTTTTATGGTGAACAAATTCATACCAATTGGGGGGTGAAGAAAGAGTTGCCTTAGAGGTTATTTATAAATTAAGGGCTAACCTTTTGAGCAGAGGCAGAAAAAGGACGATGGATAAAAGTGAAACCTGGTTGCCTGAAGCCCTTGTAATACTGAACGTGGAGCAGCATTTGAATCAGTAGCTTCTGTTCATGAGGCCAGTCCCATGGGGCGGAGTTGTCTGTGGCCGGGCTGTGTGGCGTCGAGAAGCAGGATGGTAGTAACGTCCCTCCTTAATTTAGCAGGAGCTCAGTTCTCAGCACGATGCTGAGTCGCTGACCTGCCTTCTCTTCCTTCTCAGCACAGCCCTATGGAGTCGATACTTCTTGGGTATCTCCACTTTATGGTTGTTCAGGCTCCTTCAACCAGCCAGGTGGCAAAATTGAGAATTAAATCCCAGTAGTTTGACCCCAGAGCTCAAACCGTGTTTCTTGGCACAGTGGTCCAGAGCCCAGGCTTGGTTAGCGAGGCCCGGGTTTGAATTCTGGCCCCTCACTACTGGCTGAGCTGGGAATGAGTGTTAGGCAGGTTCCCTAGCTTCTCCCAGCCTCAGTCTTCTCATCTGCAAGATGGGGATAATGAGAGCTTCCTCCTCATCTGTCTTCTTTCTCTTCCTGGAGTGGGCTTTGCCTTCTGCTCGGAGCTCCTCTGCCCGTGTGTGTGCTGGTTCGCTTGTACTCGGCTAATAAGGTTGCTTCTAGGAGCTTCCCCTTGGCCTCTGAGCTCTCTCAGTCGGCCTGGGTCCTCACCGCCATCTGCGTTGCTTTGCGTGTCTTCTCCTGCCCCCCAGACAGGTGTGCACACACACACGTACACACACATGTAGGTGCACACACCCCCCTCACCACTCTCTCCAGCAGTGCTGTCGGATCCTGGGTGATGCCGGGGAGCCGCTCCTTCGCCGTGGGTGGGGTGGGTGCGTGAGCCCCGGGGGTCCACGCTCACCCCGCGCACGTGGCCGTCATTGCAGGCACCTGGAGTACAACAGCCTGGCGGAGGTGAACAGCGGCTCACTCTATGGCCTCACGGCCCTGCACCAGCTCCACCTTGGCAACAACTTCATCTCCCGGATCCACCGTGACGGCTGGAGCTTCTGCCAGAAGCTGCACGAGCTGTGAGTGTCCCCTCCTGGCTCCGCAGGTGCTTTGTGGACACGGCCCGGAGGGGACTCCTCCAGAGCCCGGGGAACTCTGGGCCGCGCATCCCATGGCACGGTGGGCTTGGGGGTTCAGGGGCCTGTTGCGGAGGGAGGAAAGAGCCCCCAGCAGGCAGGCCTGGAACGGGACCCCGAGGCCCCGCGGATCGCAGCCACTAGGGCCTGACTCCCTGCTCATCCCTACCCTTCACCCCACTTCACATTAGCAGGGGCTGCTGTCGAAGGGTGGCTGTTCTCAGAGCCTCTGTCTGCGAACGGCTACACCGCGTAACACGTGCTTCTCTCACGAGAGGGGCTCCGGGCAGGCCTCGGCGATACTGCGTGTTCGGTTCCAGACCGCCTCAGTAAAGCAAGTCACACACTTTTCGGCTTCCCAGTGCATAGAAAAGTATCTTCATGCTACACTGTAGTCTGTTAAGTGTGTCTTAGAAAATGATGTACAGATCTTAGTTAAAAAACACTTCGTTGCTAGAAAATGCTGTCCATCATCTGACTACACAGCGCTGCCAAAACTTTCAGTTTGTTACCAAAAAAAAAAAAAAAAAAAATATCT